GAGAGGGGGTTGGATCTTTTTCAACCTGGTTCCAAGCCTCCTCATTAACACTTTCATCGAAGAGATTGCAAATATTGGCATGAAATATTTAGGCTTTCTGGATGGTGAGGAATAAGGTAACGTGGAATCTACAGATTCCTCTACCAAAGGCAACAAAACAGATGGTGCATGGGATGTTGGTTGGACTATGAGTTGCAAGAGGTACCACATCAAGAAAAATGATGAAAGTTGATGGGATGGGATCTTTGGCCATGGGATGTTGGGTCGGGGTATATTTTAATTGGCTATGATTACTCTTTTCAGTCGGCATTTAACTAACACCTCCAATATTCTCAAGACACCTAGAAAAAAAACTTTCTTCGCTTAAACGAGAGGGGTCCAAGCCATTTCCGGATCTTATCTTGGAGTTTTAGTTGAGGTATTTCCGGATCCAAGCCATTCAACATAGGACTCATACTTCTGCATCTTATCTTGGAGTTTTAGTTGAGGATTGCTCTAATATTATGTTTTTGTTTGATTGTATCTTTTTGTTTTTTGTTCGATGTGATTTGAGTGAGGTAGCCGATTCTCTAGCCAGACATGCCAAGGACCATTCTAGTTCATGGGAGCTAAATCATCAATAATTACTACCAAAAAATGGTGTTTAGAGCTCAACACTTAATTACTACCAAAAATGGTTCTAATTAATCAAATCATCAATGATTCAAAATTAAAATCATAAGACAATAACACACCAGCTTATTAAGACCGCTTTGATTCTTGAGAATCAGAATCAACAGACGCAAAATCAAAACCACGAGCCTTAAAGCGTAACTCATACGCAACAAAACACCAGTTGAAAAGCAATCCTATGAAACAAAATCTGCAAATTTCAGACACTACAAATTCAAAGGAATCGATACAAAAGGTTTATACAACATTTGGCCAAAAAGCTAATGAAAAAAGAAAAATTATATGGTACTTGCAAAACTCTGTTGGTTTGCTAAATTCATGAAGCAACCTAGAAATAAGGGTAGTCCAAAAATAAAGGAATGGTAGACCCTAGAAGTTGCAGGGGAGGAGGGGTCTATTTGCGCTTGATCACAAATCAGTGTTGGGATTATTCCCCGCAAGTATAAGGGAGATCTCGAGACCTCTACTAAAAGCTTGGTTGAACATGAGGCGGGTTTGGAAGGTCGAAACGAATGGGAACTAGGAGAAGAATGCAATGGGGATGAAGATAATCATACCCATCCCGGCATCGTATAAACGGGCGATTGAACGAATGGATTTCCACAATCCCATTTTCTTCACCAGAGGTTTCCATGCCGATGCAATCTGAATAAATACATTAAACACACCGGTGTTAAGTAGTAAACAACGATTGGCATGCCAACACGACAAAGAAAGTTGCCATAACATGAAAAAATTGTTCCCAGTAAGGGTGGGTTTGACAGGCTTAAACTTTTAAATTTTACATGCAATCTTCAGCAGGTGGCATTAAACTATTATGCACAACAAGGTACAAGGAAAGAATGACTCTTTAACACTATGTTTGGTTCAAGGAATTTAGAAAAGAAAAGGAAATGGTTTTCTCTCATTTTCTTCACCAAAAGGGGAGGAATTTGGTTCTCCCTCCTCAGTACATTTTGCCTTCTCGTTGTCTTTTCATTCCAATTTTCTTTTCTTTTACACTCTAACTAAACATGAAAAAAATTTCATCCCATTTTCTTTTCTTTTCTTTTCCATTTTAAAATTCTTGAACCAAACATGAACACTATGTTCAGTTCAAGGAATTTTCTTCTCATTTGGTTTTCCCTCCACTTAATATATTTTGTCTTCTCATTTTCTTTTCCTTCCACGTTTCCTTTCTTTTCCCCTCAAACCAAACAAGAGAAACTGTTTTCCACTTCATTTTCAGTTCCTTTCCTTTCAAATTCCTTGAACCAAACATAATGGTAAAGTTACTGAGAGAGAATAGTTTTCATTCTACTTACACAGAGAATTCCCCATCCAGTGGGTATGAAAGCCAATATGCAGGCAAATACATCCGCAATAGATATGTCAGTAAGTGCAACAGCAGTGGCTAAACCAGCTATTGCAAGCAAAAAGGAAAGGCCTTGGACAAAGCGCAGCAAGGGGGGTGGAATTTGATGTACTAGGGTAGGAAGAATTGCCACGGCTCAAAGAAGATTTGCCCTTCTTGAGTTGGGCTTCCACCTTAAGTGCTAACTTGGTTAGCTCTTCAAGGTTCTCAAAGGTTTGCAGCTCCACTGTGTTGGCGATTTGGGTGTTTAGGCCAAAGAGATATCTCACAAAGGTTTGTGAGTCATTCTCTTGGAGATCACACCGCATCAAGAGTTCTTCAAACTCTCGATTGTATTCTTCTACGGACCAATTTCCTTGCCTTAGGTGTTGAAGCCTAGCAAAGTTTTCCCTTATATAATGAGTGGGAATGAACTTCTTCTTCAATAAAGCCCTCATCTTGGTCCATGTTTGAACAGCAGCTTTGCCTTCTCTTTTGCGCTTGGTGGTAGTGTTAGTCCACCACGTAGATGCGTAGCCTCTGAATTTTAAGGCCACAAGCTTGACCTTCTTGTCCTCCGGCACTTCGGTATAGTCAAAGACGCGTTCAATCGTCTCTAGCCATTCGATGAAATCATCCGGGTCATCTTTTCCCTCAAAGGTTGGCATTTCGACCTTGAAGTCAGAGGG